TTAGATAAAATTTAGAATCCCATCTGAACTTGCTTTCTTGGCCATCTATTATAGTAAATAGATAGAGTCTTAATACTTTTTCCTCATTTTCTCTAAATTGTTCTCTTCTTTTATACGTATGCTTTCTGTAGGTCAGACAGTCTGGCAACCTCTCTGAAGTTTAGGAATTTGCTTTTTTCTTTTCTAGGGGACCCTGGAATATGCATTCCCTTGGGGACTTTGGTACTCTCAATTCCTTGGGGAAATCTAGGTCTGTTTGTGTAAATATTTTTCTACCTGTGAGAGCTGAGATGTTATGGCCTACCTTAGTCCCTCCTGTTTAGGAACCCTGATTCTGGTCTTGACACCCTCCAACCCCGCACACATGCACTATTCTTGACCTCTGCTATACTGTATAAATAATTTCTGTCTATATACAATATTAATGCAATATTTTATCTCTATCTTCTCTTCTCCCTATCTACTCATGTCAGCATTATCCATTATAGAGGGTAATGAAGACATAGATTATTCCTGTCAACATAGCTCTGAAGAGTGTTTAGCACCAAGCTAAGTCCTACAAATTAGTACTCACTAAAGGCACTGATGCTGGTTGTAATTCTGGCTCATTTAGAGACAACAGTTTGCTTACTCAGCCTTGGGAAGAGAAGCCCAACTACTTGCAGCTTCTGGGAAGAAAAATCATTCAAGTCTAGTGAGCTTATGTGCACAAGAGCAAAGCCCTTTGAATTTTCACTATCTAAAGTGAGTTATTACAGGAGCAGAATAATAATACATTGATAATGGCATAATGATGGTGACATTTAGTTCATCCGTAAGGGTGTTTAAGCAGCTCATGTAGCTCTGCTAATACACGACTGAAATAGAGCCAGTGACCCTCTGACCATCCCAAACAGCGAGAAAAACTCAACAGTAAGTGTGTCCCCCACGAGCCAGCCGTTTCCCAGAGACTTCCTTTATTTTCAGATGTCTCATTGTAATTTGTTTCCTTAAACCTCAGAATATTAAGGTGGAAGATAAACTTGAGTGAAATTCTGTTTGATTTTGGAGCCGCTTATCCAAATAGAATTTGTGGAGCGGAAATGCTTATAACATGCTTGCTGTAAGTCCAGCTAACACCAAATTAACCTCAATTAAGTAATTTCTCATGTAATTATACACATGGATAGAGAGGATGCAAAGGTTTAGAAATGTTTTGCTAGATGAATGGAGTGTCTCATTCCAAACCTTTATGCAGAAAGGCTATCGATGACAAACTTTGTTAGATTTAGGTGGAGAAAGGGGGCATGGAGGGAGAGAGGCCCCAAAGAAGCAGCTCAGCTGATTAGAACCTAAAGCTGTGTGTCCGTGTGTAATAGAAAAGGCCATGTTGTAACAGAGCTAATGAGTTCTGTTCATTGTGACTTAGCCAATTAACGCAGTACATGTCTGTTGCAGCCCCTTCATTCAGTTCCTTTAAGAGTGGCCTGGTTTTCCAATTTGGGTTGCAGTAGACTTGAATCTTAGTCATTAAAGGGAGTCCAATACGTGCTTGGTCTTTTCCTTACCTGCAGGGCAGGCCTGTGTGTAGGCAGCCCAACCTTCCTGGTGGCCAGTGTGGGGAGGGGAGGCTAGGGTAAGCCTTAATGGATTGAGTTAAAGAGAAATGTATAAAATTATGAAAGGCACTAACTAGACAGTTTCAGACATGAGAGATACAATTCAGGCTTATCAGCAATGTCCTTTAGCTATGACCTTAGTTTGGCTGACTCATATCTAGCACAGAACCCACTGGATGTATGCCCTGTACAGTGTTTACAGTCTCTTTGTGGACTTTTAAACTTGAAAAACTTACCCTTAATTTATGAGAGAAGTGACTTGTATATCACGTTTAAAAGAAGTTTAATTATTTGAACATTATTAAGGACTAACTGTGTGCCAAGTATTCTGCATACTAGACTCAAAGAAGAGTAAAACATGTTTCTACCCTTTTAAAAACTTTTATTCTATCAAAAGCAAGAGGAACACACTTATTATGGTGTAATGAAAAGAACAAGGATCAGAGAGTCAGAAAACGTGAGTTTGAATCCTTCATCTGGTGTGTGTGTGTGTGTGTGTGTGTGATTTAAGGCAAGTCATTTAATCTCTGAGCCTGACTTCCACCACCTGTAAAATGGAGTTAATTCCTACTTGCCAGATACAGAAGACTTGAGAGTTAAGAGGTCTAAAGAATATGGTAAACAGTAAAGTGTTATTAAAAGATAAGTTAATAATCTTTGAGAAACAAAAACTGCTACCGCAGCTGACGGGGTAATTGTGTTCCTGGGTGTGCATAAATGAAGTTGCTTTTAGCAGTGAGGAGAAATTTCTGATCATTACCAGAGAAATTGAATTCCTAGCACTCTAATTTATTAAAGTAAAACATTTGCGGATGACACAGAAGCTACTGAAGATTGTGAGGTTGGTGTTCCTCCTGTTTCCTTCCACACTCCTGATGCAGCTTGTCAGCCTGGTATCCTGAATGTTTGGCAATGGTTTTGAACTTTTTTCTTTGAATGCTTATAGGGGATGATGTAAAACCCCAGAGCAATTGTTACTTCCCATCCAGAAACATTGCATGAAGAAAGTTTGATCACACAAAGAGATCAACGGCAGAAGGTCAGGGTGGTGGTGATACTGTATAATTAGCTATTTTGAAGGAAATTTGTATTTTAAAAGCTTTTTCAAATGACTTATCAATTCATATTGACAAGTCACCATGATTAAAGAATATTGTTTGTCCCTGAGAATAATATTTCTATATAATGTAACTCAAGTCGAGGACTTAATTAGGCTGCCCATGTCAGTGATGTTGAGCAAGCAGATAAGTGTTATTAGAAATAGCATGTGGGATCTGAAGCAGAGCTGGAAGTCAGGAAGGTGGAAAACTGCCAGCTCAGGCATTTTTGGGTTTCAGTGCAAAATCTAAAATTCTAATATTTAGAGAAAAAATTTATTAATTTGAATAGATATGGTGCCAGTAGTCCCTCCAGAGTCCTTCAGAATAAACGTGATTTGGCCAAGTGCTGACATTCTCCAGTGGATTCCCCCGAAGTGTTTCTCTTGTCCAAATGGCCATATTGAAGACAGACAGCAAGAAAAGATTTGGTGAGCCAGATGCTGGATTTGTAACTCTAGCAGTAGCTCCTTTTGAGATGAGACAGACACCCCCAAGTTTCAGGAAAATGACTGAGGCTTTGCATTCTTCCTCCAAACAGTTTTATTTGAATTCCTGGATGTAGGCTGAGTTTTCTGAGAAGTAGCTATGATATAGACCTACTGTGTTTTAAAACATCAGGGTTCTTCATTTTCTGTTTCTTAGAAATTCATTAATCAGTTACACAAGTGAGAAATGTACATAAAACACAATAGCAAATGCTACTAAGCGCATTTGAAAAAGTATGAGTATATTAATTTAGACCTTGTCCATAATTTCAGGGGAATAATTACAAGGAAATATTTACAGGACCAGTAAATGTGTATATCTGAGAAAGCCCCTCTGGGTCACCACAGTCTTAAGTAGGAAATGGAGACAGCTGCACTTATTGACTGTCAAAATTAGGATTCACTGATTGAGTGAATGCCCATATGTTACATGTGCTACTCAACCAGATCTTGTTATTTTAAAAGAATAAATATGGCTCTTCTGGTGTGAAGACAATTGCCTAAAAGTCTCTCAACGACAGTCCAATGAGTCAAATTTTAGCTCCTCAAGCAAATTCTACACTAGCTAGAGTTAAACTTCTTGAGTTTCATGTGTTAGGGACTTCATATTTAGAGGTAGATGGTGTTTCCTGTAGCAGAAGGGAGCACAGTTTGAGTTGTCACTGGTTATAGGATTTTAAAAAATTTGGATAATTGGATTGTATTATTAAAAAGCATAAGTGTTATTTATGTTGTAATATATCTCTGGCATCAGCTGTTCTCATACGTAAGGTTGGAAATAATAACTGGTTTCTAGATAGCTTATCTCAGTCATTTTTTGAAGCTTTTTGTGATTATTTTAGCCGTCAGCTGGGCTACTGCTAAAACCCCCGTGGCAGTTGGATCCTGTCTGATCCCTTAGTGAAGTGACGGTGATTAAAAAAAAAAGGACTTTATACATAGACACCATGATGGCACTAGAGATATTGAGTCCTTGTGAATCGTTATTTAGAAATTGCTCTCAGGATAGAAAATTTGGAGTAATAATTAGAAACAATATGTTGATCTTTTTTTGTTAACAGCTTTGTTGAGATATTGTTTATATACTACAAATTCACCTTGATCACTTTTAAATAAAGGGAAAATATTGATACGTGTCTCACTACAAGCCACTTCCCTCTATTTTAAAGCTTTAAACAATAATAAAATATCTATTTTTACTAGTAAGATCTTTAACATTTCTAAATCTGTGAGATCACACACATGCGTATGTACACATACAAATACACACACACTCACTCCAGTCTGTTAGCAGTAGACTCATTACTCATTTTTGAAATAAATTAGCTTTATCCATTTTGAGTCATTTTTTTGGTATTTTCAAAGATAAAATAAATGTTCAAAAGAAAAAGATTTGCCAACATTGAAGATATCCAAAAGAATATGCCATAGATTGAAGATCTGATGAAAGAGGGGCTGAATACAGGTTGGGCAGAGCATTATTCCTAGTGGGAGCTGCAGAGCCCTCCAGAGGAAGCAGTATAGGCTCTAGAATACGGCAGATGTGGGTTTGAATCCATTTGTACCACTGACTGGCTGTGTCATCTTAGGGAAGTACTGAATTTCTCTGAGCTGCAGTTTCCTCCTGTTCAAGGGGTGGATAATAACATCTACTATAAAGATTCAAAACCATTAGTACATAATGATTATCTGCAGGGCCTCATTTGTACTGTGGATGCGACAGCCTTGGATCAGCAGTGTTAGTCTGCTTGAGTATGGCTGACTGGTATGCCTTAGTAGCTTTCAAGTTTTTTACTTTACTTTTGTGCTTCCCGCAGGAACGATTCCAGGTGAAGAATCCTCCCCATACATATATTCAAAAGCTCAAAGGCTATCTGGATCCAGCTGTTACGAGGAAGGTAAGATGGATTTGTTTCCACTCTTTGTTGTTGCTTCCTCCTTAGCCAGCAGAATCCTCCTGCATTAGAGAAGACCTTCCTTCCTCTGCATTATAGCCTCTGCCAGAGCCTCCAGAAAAACAACCTTGGGAGTCGGACAACGTGAAAAGACAAAGAAAAGAGCCATCCTTCCTGCGTGAGGATGTGTTTAAAAGTATTTTCCTACGATGGGAGTCATGTACCTCTGATGGTTGTTGAGTCACTGCCATTTCCAATTACGCAGGGCGGTGAGTCCAGTTCAGAGGTGTTCAGGCCCCTAGAAAAGCAGGCCTAGCAAAGGGAATACTTGTCTTTCATGCCTTGGTGCATTTCCAGAGACCTTGAAAAATCACTGGGGCTTTGTCATCCCAGCTGTGCACTCACATCCTGTGTTGATGCTTTTAGCAGCTTCCCCCGCCCCAACCCTGCCCCTGGCCCCAAGAAGGTAAGAAGAGAATAGCTGATTCCATTCTCAACTGACTCTCTCCTTTTACAAACAAGCCTTGCTTTGTGCAGCCACACAATTGGTTTAAACTGATGCCTTGTGGTAAACCATGTAGCCTGGCACAGCCCTGCAGGCCTGGACCAGTCCTGGGATGTCTCAGGGAGGAGATGTCCTTGCTCGAGATGGGTAAAGAGGCTCTTCACCAGATAACACTTGTTTTTCGGTTGACCTTCCACAACTCCTGCTTTCAAGGCTGCAGCAGAAATATCTCTGTTGTTTCAGCATGTGACTGATGAGAGAAGAAAGGCACACTTTTTCTAGTTAGCTATTGTTTCCAGAGCTCTTGGCTCCTGTATTTTTTTTGGTCTGCTTTTCCTTCATCTTCTTCTTCCACTCTAAACATCCCTTCCCCCTCAAAAAAGATCAGGCAAAGGAGAACAGCTATTAGTTCCTTTTGGAAGTTTCCTGGCCCTTTGTCCTATGGTTAATGTGCAGACAAGCAGAAATAAAATCTACAAGTGATGATGAAAGGGGACTGTAGACCTTTGCTGTCGGCGAGACACTCTGTCTGACTTGAATGTGACACAGCCTTGTCTTGTAAGAATGTACCTGTCAAAGTATCATAATATTCCTGTCCTCACAAATCTGGCACACGTTTCTTTTTTTAAAAGAGCTTCTGTCAGGCCTCCTAAATGAGACAGCTGCTTAATTCTTGTTAGTTTGTTTCTTTCTGGTATCCTTCCCCAAGGATATAGCAGCCTTCGATTTTATCAGATTAGAGAGGGTTAAATGAAGGCACACCCATACGCACAAATAAAACTCAGGAAAAACACAGGTTGGTTTTCTGGACTTTTTTTTTTTTTAATTAATTTATTTCCTTTGGGAACCTTCTATTATTCAAGGAAGCATTTAAGAGGCGATATCTATGTAATACTCATGATTCACTTTTTTTTTTTTCCTTTTTTCTCCCCAAAGCCCCCTGGTACATAGTTATATATTCTTAGTTGTGGGTCCTTCCAATTGTGGCATGTGGGACGCCGCCTCAGCGTAGCTTGATGAGTAACACCATGTCCACGCCCAGGATTCGAACCGACGAAACACTGGGCCGCCTGCAGTGGAGCGCCCGAACTTAACCACTCGGCCACAGGGCCGGCCCCTCTGGACTATTTCCTTGCACAGGGCAGCAAGGTTCTATTTTAGGAACATTTTCAGAAGCCCCCAAGCTTGTAAACCTTCAGACGAGATGGCTCAGAATCCAGCATTAGGCACACTTGTCGTGAACAGAGTGCGGCAGAAATGCCGGTGTTTGTACATCAGACAGAGAGCTCCCCTCACATGGAGTACGTTCCCTCCCTGAACAATTCTCTCAGCATTTGTCAAATTCTCAAAGGAGAAAATATGTAAACTCCTAGAGAGACCTTCTTAGACTCCATCCAGCCCTAAGCCCCCTAAGGAGAAAGGTTCTTAGAGGGAGAGGTGGATTTCTCCTGGCACGGACCCAGTTCTCCTTTGGAACAGTTGTTCCTGGGCTGAGGCAAAGAATGTAAAACCAAAAAACAACAACAGATAAGCTGCTCAGAAAGTGTTTTGCTCCCTTGCAAATCACTTAATAAAAGAGGCCCAAGACAAGGGATGTCTGTCTGGGCTGACCTTCATTCCTGCAATCTCTGCCCCAGACTGTGTGTATTCACCTGAATGATCTTTTTGATCTGTACCTCATCTTTCAAGATCAATCATTCAGCTCAGAAAAAAAATAAAATGCGTGTTGGATGAACCACTCCTGCTTTAGTAAGATTTCTGTCAGGAGCTGGCAGGAGGAAATGGTCTGTTCCCCTCAACGTAATTGTCATGTTTAAAGCCTGGAAAAAAGGAGATTTTGCTTGGAATAAGACATCGCTTGCAGTTAAAATGAGTTTAAGATTCTCAGCCGTACCATGGTGGGGGAGAAAGAAAAGATTTCAAGTCAGGGCTTTCAATTTCCGCCAGACAGTCTAGGCTGAGCAGTCTTCCCTTAACTGCAGCTGGAGTCCTCCAATACTTCGTTCATTAATCTTTTGTTCACACTGAATAGAAGATACTTAATTTGCTGTCTTCTAAAAAAAAAAAATTCTTAAGCATATTCTATTTGGAAAATGAAACCCTGTAGGGCAGAGAAGGAAGAGCCTAAATTAGATATCTCTGTGATCAGAACTCTCCAAACCAGCCTCACTGAATACCAGACGGCTCTCAGTCTGTGCTTTGTGGGGATGTGCTCATGTCTGGCATGGAAAAAGGCTACAGACCTTGAAGAAGGGAGTCTGGTCCTCTGCAGGCGCTGCAGTTGTGGAACAAAACCTATTGTCTCGGTCTCCAGGGCTCAGCGGTCTCCATGGGCTCGTCCCTGAGCCTGCCTTGTAGGGAGAGGGCCAGGAGGATGGTGGAGACTGCAAATGGTTGGAACCTGGCTCTTTTTTTTTTTTTGCTGGTGCCCACAGGCACGTGGTTTCTCTTTGAAGTGTTGTAAAGCATCCTGGATACATTGTAGAAGTGTGAAGTGTTAGCACTCATTGTTTATGTGTTAGAGAAGTGGGTGCCAGGGCCTTTCAGAGTCCAGAGTCCAGCTGGAAACTGGACAGTTCCCAAGAGAGTATAATTCAAGAGCGAAGTCAGTTTAGCTTTACCTCAGTTATCGTGCAGTTGCCAAAGTGTACTGCCTGCCATAGTAAATGCCCAAGAAACGTTAACTGCTGCTGTTGTCATTCCTGTTCTATCGGAGTGGTTTGATTGAGTTATTTTGTTTTGATGTGTGCCTCTTAGTCCTTCAGCAGATCCTCTTTTATACTTGGTTACGTCCTCGCTGCTATGCTGGGTGCCCTTGTGGCTGATGATGTATGTAGTACATGACCTTGCCCTGAGGAAGCATAAGGCAGAATTGGGGGACCAGCAAAGGCCACAGGGAACCAGCCAGAACTGTGCATAATGCATAGCTCAGAATGCTGAGTTGTTTTCTAAAGGCCACATGTGCAGAGAGAGACTCTGACATGGGAATCGTCCCTCCGGAGCAGCCAGCACACCTGGAAATGGTTTCCTCAGCCGTGTGGCCGTAGACCTTACCTCATTAGCAGTCCCCATTGCTGGAAAGCTCTCTAAGAAGCATTGGGCTTGGATGTCCCTCCAAACTATAGATGACTCTGCCATTTCTTAGGCTTTTCTTGACAAAGAAAGGAGTTGCTCTCTCTCTTTTTTTTTTATTGCATCAGGGATGCTTTTCTTTCGTAGATCCCACTGTACTTGGATTCTGAAAACCTGAGAAGGTCTTTGGGGTGCTTTAGGGATGGCAGTCGGGGGAAACTGTGAGACTTCTTTGCTTCCTTGGGGCCCTGGGGAGAAGCAGTTGGGGGAGAAGCAGAGGGCATTCAGAAGAGAAGAAGAGGGTGACAGGAGCCGCCCATGCTGGGCAGGGCACCAGGTCCCACCTGGGCATGGTGTGGCTCTTCCCACCCCAATTCCTAGAATCCTCCTTGCTGGCCTTCCTCCTTTCCTTCCTGTCCTTGGACGCCTTTGTCTTTGGAGCTGGATGACTGTTTCCACTGGAGTTGTGGCTGCAGAGGAGCGTCCCTGATATCCTCAGCCAGAATTTGCAAAGGCTTTTCCTGAAGATGATGTAACGTGAAGGTGGTTTGCGTCTGTAGCACAAAGAGCAAAGAACTCTTGTTAGAAGGCATTGCATTTCAAGTGTCTTTCCAGAGTGGCCTAAGATTTTAGTTACTGTAAATAAATGTTCCTGGAGGAAATCGTGTTCCAAAGAACTGATGTACAGCGCAACCCGATGATAGCTTGGAGATTATTTAGAGTCCAGAGGATAGAGAGATCAATACGTTTACTATCAGAGGAGGATACATTGAAGACAGACAGACCTGAGTGGAGTTCTGGAAGGATAGGTGGGATTTTGATAAGTAAGGAAATGAGGAAAGACATTCTGAAAGTAGGAGGGAGGTGCTCCAGAGGAGGGACCTTCCAGGTGGGGGCTCATGGGCAGAGGGAACTCGGAATGTTTATTTCTGAAAACGGTTAGGTCATGCAGAAAAGAATTTATGTAGCAAGCCCGAGACTGCTACCTTGGAAAGACCTGTTTGCAAGGTTGGCTATTGGTTGGCAACTGGGAAGTTGGATTTTGGGAGAGTTCTCATCATTCCCTGATCAGAATGACTCACTGTGCCTAACCTGGTTATGCCAGTCATGTGGTTTATGCTGAATGCCTTCTGGGAATTTTCCTTCTGGGAGTCTGGACTTTTGGTATGTGCTAGGCAGAGAGTGCCTAAGTGAGCAGCCCCCAAGGAAAACCCGGGGTACTGAGTCTCTAGCGAGCTTCATTTCATGAATATTGTCGTTTGTGACTCTGCTGGAAGAAGACTCTTGCAAGCTTGTATCTGGTTTCCTCTGGGCTTCCCCTCGTGGGTTTTTCCCCTTTGCTGATTGCGCCTTGTATCTTTTTGCTGTAATAAATTCTAGCTGTGAGGGCGACTGTCTGCTGAGTCCTGTGAGTCCCAGCAAATCATTGAAACTGGCGTGGTCGTAGGGACCCCAACACATAGTCCATTGGTGAAGATTGTTGTAGGGCAGAGAAAAAATAATCTGCTTACTCAAAGACACTTGGTACATGAAATAAGAAATTTTTCCCAGTCGTTTTTGCGTAAGCTGACTTTCATGATGAGAAAAATGTGCATGCTTTGCAAAGGGAAATGCGAGAGAAGCCCACTTTAGAAGCAGAGATATTTTCGTATTGTGTTAAACTTATAATAAGTAAGCTGCAGTTATAGCAGTTGCTGAAATATGTTTTGTGAGCATATGTGTTCTTTAATTATAGAAATTCAGACGGCGTGTTCAAGAATCCACACAAGTGCTAAGAGAACTGGAAATTTCTTTAAGAACCAACCATATTGGGTAAGTGTGCCCATTTAACATTTTAGCTCTAAGGCTTTTGGACCCTTTACAGAGTGACCGAATCATATGCAAAGAGTTAAGTTTCCTGATTGTTCATTGTAAGTTAAGAGCCTGAGCTTTACATGGTGGGGCCTTTATTAGTCCTCCAATTGCTCACGCTCCAAGAATCAGTAGATACTGGGCAGATAGCTCTGATCGGAGAGATGTATAACAATTCTCAAATTCTTGGCTTGGATACAGTGATAAGTGCTTCATCTCTGGTGTGCGTAATAGTTCCCAGGCAAGTTAGGAACTCCCAACAAGCAGATGTAGACTGAGATCCTGGAAGATCTCTAGGCCTTCGCTGTGCTTCTCTGAGCTGATTAGTAGAAGCTATTTCATTATCCTTTCCTCACTGCGCTGGTGTTCCTGGCCAGAAGGAAACAGAAGGTGGAGTGATGTCACCTGACCCACTTCATGGCACTGTAGATACTTTGTTCTGAGTCTCTTCTTTCTGCATCCTCAAATTAAAGCACCATGAAGGTAAATCCACCCTGGAAAATAAAGTTTGGGGAATTTAGAATGCTAAGCATTTCTAAGAGTTTTTCATGGAACAAGATTGTTGCTTTGCTGCAAACAAGTACAACTTTATTACATTCTCCCTTACTCCTGGGATGGTGTAATTGGACGGCACCTTAAAATGGGGTCGTTTATCTCTGAGACAGAATGATATCAGGCACCCTGTTATGTAGCCTTAGGTCTACCTAAAGTACCTGTTTAACATCAGGCAACTTATTTAACCCCTCTGGGTTTTGATTCTTTGAGTTTTACAATGAGAAGACTGTAGACTTCAGATCTTTCAGAATTTTCCCCTGTGATACTCTTTGCAGGTCTGTTGGAAATGAAATTTTACATGTATATTACGTTATAGTTTTACAGAGTATCCTGTAAAATCAGTATATTACATAAATAACAGTGTACTTCTACTTCAGACTATGTTTGGTGTAAACCATTCAAATGGATAATTTCCACAGTTATTTAAGAATAATCTTTTTTAAAATTGCAGAAATGCAAGGTTAATTTATAGATGATGGGATTTGGGTGAGAATGTTTATTTCCTAAAGGATAACTTTACACATTTGTCACCTTGAGAATGAAATTTTCAGAAAATGAGCTGATTCTAACCTAAAGTTGATAACCCTTTGTCCCAGAAAATAGGCTATAGAACAATGGATCAAAGACTCATGATTTTAGAACTGGAAGAGAAATTAAGGATTGCCTAGTCCCTCATTTTATGGATTAAAAGAATTATGGACCAGAAAAAGTGAGTGACTCCCACAAAGTCTACAGCTGTAGATCGAAGTACTTTGGTTCAAAATGTTACATTCTTTTTCTTATATAGCTTAATCTGGCAGCTCTTTCTCTGAAAGGAAATAAGATAATCAGGGCTCTGGGATCAAAGCAATGAGGCTTATCTGTTGGGGGTGAAAGTGGTGGTGATTTAATATAGTTGGGCATCCAAGCTTAGGAAATTCAAATACTTTCCAATATTTGTGGATCAGAAACTAGATTCCATTTGGTAAGGTCCAACCCTATGTTGTTGGCACTTCTTCTTGACTGAAAATGGTGGAATGAGCTGCAGCCAGGATTTCTACAAATTGTCGAAAAGCATTTCTTGAAGCATTGCTGAAATAATGTGAAATTGACCATCAAATACCAAAGCAAGATGATCATGTCCAATACAAAGTATGCTGAATAGAAGAATCCTGGTTGGGTTGATGCCAGTGCAAATCTGCAAGCAATTGGAGTGGTTTATTGTTTAGGATGCTATAGGCATGTTGAAAGATTCTTACATTTCTTTCATCTTTACCAGCTGAAGTTTTCCCTTGCCTATCACTATGTGAGACACTCTAAAAGCTTTGTCTTTAGCAGCAGAAAAATTCATGGAGGTGCATTGTCTGGTTGTATGCAAACGATTATGAGAATAATCTTACAGGGAATGAAACCACATACCAGGATTTTGACCTTTCTTGCCTGTCTTGAAAACCTAAGCCTGAGCTAGACTCTTTATTATGGAAACTAACTGGCTTGACCTCACTTATTTGGAAATTTTCTGAAGAGTTACTCAATAATGTGAAAACAATTAATTACTACAGTGAGGAATTCTTGGAATGCAAGGTGTTAGATATGGGATCCATAGGTTTTATTATACTCTTTGAGGCACAATAATAGAAAGGTAATTGGGTGCCCATTTGCCTTATGGAAAGAAAGATTTTCGTTCAGATTTTTGCCACGCCCTCTTATTAGTTATTTGACCTTAGTTAGTTACATAAGCGCTCTGCACTTACCATGTGAGCTAAGTTAACTTCTCATCTATCAAATGAGGATAATAATACCCTGTAGGAATGTTGTAAGAATTAAATGAGATAACTTATAAAAGACCTAACGTAGGGTTTAATACATAGTAATGACTCGATATGTGATAGCTGTTGTTTGTTGTTATGCTTGTTGAAAATAATATTATATCTAATAATAATTCAGCAACATTATGTAATATATCCCTAAGGAATTCCATACAGAGAATGTTATCTTTTATGTCTAAAATGACCCTGACACCTAAGAGATTGTGATTCCCAGAAATCAAAAGGAAGAATTACATTTAAAATCTACTCGTCCTCAAAAAATTATTCTTGACACATGCTTGCATTTCAAGGTTAAGATCTGGGGCTTTGCTGAGATAACATTCCAGGCTACAGCTTTGTCAATCAAAGGGTTTGTTCTGAGTTTTGATATAAGCCTGAAACTCTATAAATGCAGTAATCTTCTGAGAAAGAAAATTAATTTTCTTTGAGCCAAATTGAAATGAGAATTGGACTAGAAATAATCTCATTCACTTACTCTTAGGAACTATAATAATACAGAAGAATTGGATTATGACTTATCCAAGCCCTTGAAATGACTTGAAATACCCTTGAAAGGAGCCAAGTATTGTTAGAACGCATTGGCCGGGCAGCATGAGTAGGCAGATGTCATGATGTTTTGGATGTCAGGGTGATAAAATTCAAGTGGCGGTGATGGTGGTGAGCTGGATAGATTTATGGGCTTTATTCCATGGAACTGAGTTGTAGGCTATCTCTTCTTGGAGGTAATTTATTTTAGTAAAACTCCCTATGATGATAGAAGATTACTTTTTATCCTGAGTGCAAGGTCATAGAGATTCTGAAAGACGCTCATTTCACTTTATCTCATTGTGGGGGTAGAGACAAGGGATGTGAAGTTGCGGGAAGAATATACAAGTTGGCAGGGAGAAGAGTAGGTTTCTAGAAAGGGGAAGGAACTGAGGAGTTGCTTAGTGACATCGTTCCTCCTGGACTGCCTGGCTTCTTTCTGCAGTAGTGCTGGTTGGGCCAGGCCAAAAGAGGAAAGAGAGAATAACCAAGGCTGGTGTTAAGAGGTATACAACATGTATGGTATGCATGTGCATCAAGCTACCCTATGGTTAATTCAATCTTAGATGGTGCTTTTAGGAAATTCTCAAGATCCTAATCATTTTGTCATTTATTAAGCACCATCTTAGCCGTGTTAAATGTGTTTACTTCATACAAGATCTTTTTATTACCACCCTTTACCTCTGAACCTCTGGTTTACAGATGAGGAAACTGAGAGTCAGCTATTAAGTATCTTCCTCAAGTCCATACAGCTCAAATTACTGAGATTCAAACTTAGATATGTCCAAATCTAAAGCCTGTTATAAAACCAGCAGTTCTCAAATTTGGTGTTTTTTTTTTTTTTTGAGGAAGATTAGCCCTGAGCTAACATCTGCTGCCGATCCTCCTCTTTTTGCTGAGGAAGACTGGCCCTGAGCTAACATCCATGCCCATCTTCCCCTACTTTATATGTGGGATGCCTACCACAGCATGGCTTGTCAAGCGGCGAACTGAACCGCGAACCCCAGGCCACTGAAGTGGAATGTGCAAACTTAACCACTGTGCCACCAGGCCAGCCCCTCAAATTTTTTTATTTTACGACTCCTTTATTCTCTTATTTTGAACCCCCATAAGCATTTATTTATGTGGGTTTTATCTATTAATGTTGACTATACTGGAAATTTAAACTGACGAATTTTAAATATGCTTATTTAATAAGATTTAATGTTTAATAAATGTAAATATGTAAATACAGAATAACATATAGCACAAATAACACTTTTCATAAAAAATAACTTTCCTAAAGTCAAGAAAAATTAGTGACAAATGTGGCGTTGGTTTACATGTTCACGAATCTCTTTAATGTCTTGTTCCTGAAAGGCAGCTGAATTCTCATTTCTTTGTCTGCATTCAGTCAGTTGTCATATGCTGTTTTGGTTGACGTATATGAAGAAAACTTGGCCTTACACTGATACGCACTTGGCAAAAGGAGTATTTTAAATAACTTTTGCAGATAATCGTGGATATTCTTCTTTGATACTACACCAAGGTTCAAGAAAATGTAATTTCTTAAAGTTAGTTGGGAAGCGGAATCTGAAACCATATCAATGAGCTTTTGTGCTCTGTTATACTAAAATCTCTTGTGCTGTCTTACACTTTGAATGGATCCTTTTACCCGTGTGTAATTTTGTAACATCGTGAATTGATCGTTTGGAAAATACTGTTTCCCTCAGTTATTCTGATCTTTCAAGCATCGACACATTTTATTCTACCGTATAAAAACATTCACATTTGTTAATAATCACCAGGCTCATCAGAATATACTTTAAGTATTGGGAAGCTGTCAAGCTCATGGTGGTGAATTCATGTGTTCCAAAATTAAGGTTTTTTTGTTTGAAAGCTCAAATTTTATCACTGACAACAAGTACTGTCAGTCGTTTTCCTCAAAACAACAGGCTGACTTCATTCGCTTTTGAGAAAATATCTGCTAAATGCCCAAGACGGAATAACCACAGTTTGTCAGTCATTTTACATTCTATGTAAAAAAAAGTGTCTAGTTGAGTTTGCAACTCAAACAGCTGCACAAGTGCTTCT